TCTAAATTAGGGTTAATAAATATTGCTTCGTCATAAGATTTAATTGCTTCTTGATATTGTTTTAAACTTGCTAATGCCTATCCTAAATAGTAATGTAAAACTATTAATACCTTTGCTAAACCATGCATCATTTTATTCCGGGTTAATAGATATTGCTTCGTCGAAAGATTTAATTGCTTCTTGATATTGTTTTAGACGTGCTAATGCCTATCCTAAATAGTAATGTAAAACTATTAATACCTTTGCTAAACCATGCATCATTGTATTATGGGTTAATAGATATTGCTTCATCGAAAGATTTAATTGCATGTTGATAATATGTTAAAAGCACTAATACCTTACCTAAGTATTCTTATATAACAATTAATTACCCTTGATATTCCATGCAGTATCAAATTTAGGGTTAATAAATATTGCTTCATCATAACATTTAATTGCTTCTTGATAATGTTATAAACGAGCTAATGAATTACCTAAATATTAAAATTTAACCATTATTTACCTTTGTTATAAAATGCATAACCATATTTAGGGTTAATTGATATTGCTTCATTGTAACATTTAATTGCTTCTCGATAATGTTATAAACGAGCTAATGCCAATCCTAAATATTATAATTTAACCATTATTTACCTTTGTTATAAAATGCATAAACACATTTAGGATCAATAGATATTGCTTTATTGAAAGATTGAATTGCTTCTTGATATTGATTCAATTTCGCTAATGCATTACCTAAGGATAATATGTTACCTATAAATACCCTTTCCATTCCATGCATCATTATATTTCGGGTTAATCGATATTGCTTCATCAAAAGATTGAATTGCATGTTTATATTGTTTTAATTGCGTTAATACCAATCCTAAAAATTATTATTTAATAAGTAATTACCCTTGCCATACCATGCATCAATCTATTGAGGGTTGATTAATATTGATTCTTCATAAGATTTCAATGCTTCTTAATGTTAATGCAATTCGGCTAATGTATTTCCTAATATTATTTTTTTAAAATATAACCCTTGTTTTTCCAAACATTTGAAAATTTAGGGTTAATAGATATTGCTTCATCGTAACATTTAATTGCCTCTTGATATTGTTTTAAGCATATTAATGCGTTACCTAAATATTAATATTTCACAATTACTACCCTTTTTATTCCGTGCAGATTGATTTTGTGGGTCTATAGATATAGCTTCATCATAACATTTAATTGCTTCTTGATATAATTTCAATTTTGCTAATGCATTACCTAAATATTAATATATAAAAATTAATTACCCTTGTTCTTCTAAGCATTAAAAACTTTAGGGTTAATAGATATTGTTTAATTGTAACATTTAATAGCTTCTTGATATTCTTTTAACTCTGCTAATGACAGTCCTAAATATTAATAAGCAACACTTATTTACCCTTGTAATAATATGTAGGATAATATTTAGGGTCAATAGATATTGCTTGATCATAGCATTTAATTGCTTCTTAATATTGTTTTAAATTTGCTAACGCCTGACCTTAATATTGATATGTAGTAATTTATTACCCTTGCCCTACCATGCAGAAGCATATTTAGGGTCAATAGATATTGCTTGATCATAGCATTTAATTGCTTCTTAATATTGTTTTAAATTTGCTAACGCCTGACCTTAATATTGATATGTAGTAATTTATTACCCTTGCCCTACCATGCAGAAGCATATTTAGGGTTAATTGATATTGCTTCATCGTAACATTTAATTGCTTCGTTATATTGCTTTAAACATACTAATGATAAACCTAATGCTAATTAATTAACAATTAACTACCCTTCTATTACCATTCTTTTTCCTATTGATTA